TTTACCACCAATTTTGGCAGTTTACCTTGACCCTGGGAGCTGGCTGGACGTGTGGCCTTCTGCCTTTTTATGTGTTTTTATTGTGCTATTTTTTCTGTGTTCATTTTTAGTCTTTTAAGTGATATTTTAATAAACCCAGCAAGTGCAACGAGTGTTTCAGTTCATCCCGTTAACTGTGGTTTACAGTGAGAATAAATTTCCAGCCAGTCCCAGCTTAACGTGGGCTCACTCAGTGAACTACCAAACAGGTGGTTCACTACACTATCATTATCATTATTATAAATACTTTTACACTTGCTATTACAACCTCCTCTACTACTATCACTATTATCAATATTAACCCTTTGGATCCTAGTGTTTCACTGCATGCACATAAGCAATAATCTGGTGGTAGTGGTGGGGTAGGGTACGGGTGGGGTGGTGGTGATGGTGTGGTGGTGGGGGGGGTGGTGGGGTGGTGGTGGTGGTGGTGGTGGTGGTGGTGGTGATGGGTGTGGTGGTGGTGGTGGTGATGGTGGTGGTGGTGGTATGATGTGGTGGTGGTGGTGGTGGTGTGGTGGTGGTGGTGGTGGTGATGATGATGATGATGATGATGATGATGATGATGATGATGATGATGATGATGATGATGATGATGATGATGGATGATGTGGTGGTGGTAGTGGTAGTGGTAGTGGTAGTGGTAGTGGTAGTGGTGGTGGTGGTGGTGGTGGGTGGTGGTGGTGGTGGTGTGGGTGGTGTGGTGGTGGGTGGGTGGTGGTGGTGGTGATAATGATGAATAGTAATAAAAATTATATTGATAATAATAGTAACGTTGATAACAACATTGATAATGAACATAAAAACAGTTCAGCTTTAGTAATAACATAATTTTATGTATGGTGAATACTGAAGAAAGATGTATTCATTTCCTTACATTATAAATATAATTTGCTGTAGGCATGGATCAATAATCAGTACAGACTCTAATATTCAAATGAGTAAAGGTTGAAAGACATTCATGAAATAAGAAATGAAATCCTACTACTAGTCCAAGAACAGTGGTCAGTCCTTGGTTGAATCATCTGGAGAGAGGTGGTGCAGGTAAAGATTCATGTTTCTGCCAAACCCACTGAACATGGGCAAATGCACTGTCCACTGCCGTTACATTGGTTCTGGCTCCACAAGTTCTTAGTAATCAAGAAGGCAAATACTAAGCATATTATCATAATTATCATAACACCAGCCAGAAAAATGTGTTCGCTGTAGTATTGTTTTGTGAATGTTTATGCACATAGATGGCTCTGCAAATGCTTAACCACAAGGGAGTTAATTAGTAAACCTTGTGATGTCACCTGCTTTCAACTTTCCTTGAGTTTGTGGGAAAAAACTTTTTTTTTTCCCCTAATGCTATCAATAACGATGCTGTTATTCTTATCATAAGCACCATAATCAACATAGTGTTACTATCATTACTAACAGCAATATAAGATACCAGAAAATATTTTTGAAAATTAAGGAAAAAGGTAAACAGGTGAGACGTGTAGTAGTCGTGCCAGACTCATTGGTGACTTAGTACTTGTGGAGCAATCTATGTAGAAACAATTAATGAATCAAACTCAAAATAGGCATGGCATTCACATACATGCCATCTCCAGTGGCATCACATTAACAATATCAATAGTAATGAAAAAAAATCAATAAAATAAAAATTCAAGGAACAAGGTAAAATGGTTAGTAACTTGTGGAGCCATTTATCTGTATGTAAAATTAATAAACTAAAATCTCAGTAGATATTCTAAGTATAAATGCCCTACTGGCCTCAATGAGTTAATACAGAGGTGCAATATCCAGCCATTATCCATGAATAGCAGAAGTTACAGTAGCTGAAAAATTACTGGACATAATCAAGAAAATAACATAAGTATTACTACTACCATTATAATATCCAGAATAAAATCTTCCTGAGCCCTTTACCTTTTAACAGGTCTAATAGCCTTCCTAGGAAAGGAATCATGCTTGTTGTTTGTTTCTAATACCAGTCTAAAATCAGAACTTTTTTCGTTTATAGTAACCTTTCATAGTTACCTGATACTACTGATTTATCTATTGCTTTTCTTTCAGTGATGTAATTTTTCCTTAAATGTGCACTTTTTTTTTTTTTTTTTTAAGGGGACTTTTTTACAGTAATATTGAATAGTAAAACTATGACATTTGAAGCTTGGTCCACTAGACCAAGAAAAAAGGCATCATCCATTGGCACTGTACCCGTCAACCCCAACCACTATTGGTGTACATACATAAAATTCATATGAACAAAGAGCAGTGGATGAAAATGATAATAAAAGGTATCGACTAACACCAAACTTTTTTCACTGCCTAGTGTTTTCTTCGGTCTAGAAACTGGATACAATACGGTATAACAAATGCAGAAAACAGTGAAAGTGTTATACAGAAATCCTCAAAATATGGAAAGGTTCCTATACAAGACACAGGGACAAACTGACAACAAAAGATTAGAAAACCAGCAAAGTCAATAGCTAACTGCGAACCTGCTGAAAAATAGATGTGGAACCTAGGTCATCACGCTCTATAACACACTGCAAGACAGGAAGTTGACATAAAATTTAGAGCATGATCAAATGGCAATCCACCCACAATGCTTGTATTGGATCTACTGCCCATAAGACATGGGGGAATCTCCAATGCAGAGACAAAGACTGGTCCCAAGCATGACTCAGGCATTTATTTCTGGCCAAGGAGGGAAGCAGGAGAAGACCAGCAGTGAGTACTTGGATTAACACTGACTTATGAAGAAATATCCACAGGCTAATGTAAAGACCAAAACAGTATTGTAGTACATGCTGGCAGCTTGTAAGATCTTCATGGCTTTATCAGTCCATGGCTTTATCAGGATTTATACGACATATGAAATAGGTGAAACCAAGTTTATATATTATCTAACCTTAGGTCCCAACCATGGAATACTGAGATTTGAGGGAATCACAGCATGCAAATTGATCATCATGGTTCTGTCACATGCCAGACTTGGCACTGGAATGCTGCTAGGGTGTAGCAATGACAAAGACAAAGTTAACAAATCATTCTAGAGAGTCCTCTGGCATTACGCAGCATGCCAAACTAAGAAGGTTCAATGTAGCTTGGCATACAATTGAAATGGGAGACAACTGCTGAGTGCCCATAGGTCCATCAGATGGGGGGGGGGGGGACATAAGGGCAGAAGTGTGAGCCTGCCCTCACAACAAGAATGAGAACGAATGAAAAGTAGAGGTGAGAGGAGTAAAGAGTGTATAGAAAGAAACATATTACCCCTCTCCCAGGAAGGAAAAGTATACATAGGACACATAGATTAACAAATTATGAGGATCAAAAGCACATTGTTAACCCCTTGGATCTGGTTGCTTCGTGGCAATCGCATGCCCTAAGAACAGGCTGGGCGCACACAAACACTCGTGTGCACTGACAAGACTATGCTTCCCCTTTGCAATATTTTCTCTTTTCTGGATAACCAGAAAGACCAGCAGTGAGTACTTGGATTAACACTGACTTATGAAGAAATATCCACAGGCTAATGTAAAGACCAAAACAGTATTGTAGTACATGCTGGCAGCTTGTAAGATCTTCATGGCTTTATCAGTCCATGGCCTTATCAGGATTTATACGACATATGAAATAGGTGAAACCACGTTTATATATTATCTAACCTTAGGTCCCAACCATGGAATACTGAGATTTGAGGGAATCACAGCATGCAAATTGATCATCATGGTTCTGTCACATGCCAGACTTGGCACTGGAATGCTGCTAGGGTGTAGCAATGACAAAGACAAAGTTAACAAATCATTCTAGAGAGTCCTCTGGCATTACGCAGCATGTCAAACTAAGAAGGTTCAATGTAGCTTGGCATACAATTGAAATGGGAGACAACTGCTGAGTGCCCATAGGTCCATCAGATGGGGGGGGGGGGGGGACATAAGGGCAGAAGTGTGAGCCTGCCCTCACAACAAGAATGAGAACGAATGAAAAGTAGAGGTGAGAGGAGTAAAGAGTGTATAGAAAGAAACATATTACCCCTCTCCCAGGAAGGAAAAGTATACATAGGACACATAGATTAACAAATTATGAGAAGGATCAAAAGCACATTGTTAACCCCTTGGATCTGGTTGCTTCGTGGCAATCGCATGCCCTAAGAACAGGCTGGGCGCACACAAACACTCGTGTGCACTGACAAGACTATGCTTCCCCTTTGCAATATTTTCTCTTTTCTGGATAACCAGAAAGACCAGCAGTGAGTACTTGGATTAACACTGACTTATGAAGAAATATCCACAGGCTAAAGTAAAGACCAAAACAGTATTGTAGTACATGCTGGCAGCTTATAAGATCTTCATGGCTTTATCAGTCCATGGCCTTATCAGGATTTATACGACATATGAAATAGGTGAAACCAAGTTTATATATTATCTAACCTTAGGTCCCAACCATGGAATACTGAGATTTGAGGGAATCACAGCATGCAAATTGATCATCATGGTTCTGTCACATGCCAGACTTGGCACTGGAATGCTGCTAGGGTGTAGCAATGACAAAGACAAAGTTAACAAATCATTCTAGAGAGTCCTCTGGCATTATGCAGCATGTCAAACTAAGAAGGTTCAAAGTAGCTTGGCATACAAATGAAATGGGAGACAACTGCTGAGTGCCCATAGGTCCATCAGATGGGGGGGGGGGACATAAGGGCAGAAGTGTGAGCCTGCCCTCACAACAAGAATGAGAACGAATGAAAAGTAGAGGTGAGAGGAGTAAAGAGTGTATAGAAAGAAACATATTACCCCTCTCCCAGGAAGGAAAAGTATACATAGGACACATAGATTAACAAATTATGAGAAGGATCAAAAGCACATTGTTAACCCCTTGGATCTGGTTGCTTCGTGGCAATCGCATGCCCTAAGAACAGGCTGGGCGCACACAAACACTCGTGTGCACTGACAAGACTATGC